GCAAAACCCTAAACCCTAAACCCTAAACCCTAAACCCTAAACCCTAGATATTAAACACAAACCCTAACCCGCAAGCCCTCCAGCCGGAGTCAAACAGCTCACTAGCAATTATCCTTTCCCGCGGAATCCTCTACGGGCACTGTGGCTCTCCCCTGTGGTGGTGCTTGGGGTTTAGGATTTAGGGTTTAGGGTTTAGGGTTTCACCTGTTTCTTCGTGCCACTGCGCCTCGTGCTGGTCAACGAAAATCTCGTGCGGCTGAAGTTCTCTGTAGCCCTCCGGTAGAACAATGACGCGCCCCTGTTCAAACAAACCCTAAACCCTAAACCCTAAACCCTAAACCCTAGATCTTAAAGCTTCAAACCCGAACTGTAGATGTATGATGACAACTTTAGGATAAAACCTAAACCCTAAGCCCTAAATCCTAAATCCTAAACTGGCAGCCCCGCACCGAAAACCCCATTGAGTTTCAGCAGAGGCTCGCAAGGGTTTAGGGTTTAGGGTTTACTTGGAGAGGGTAGCACTCGTCCACACCAGCTCCCGGCTGCAGCCGCTGCTGCTGCTGCCGCTGCCGCAGCGCTTGTGTTGCTGCTGCTGCAGTGCGGCCCCTCTTGCCAGCAGTGCTGGCAGCAGCAGCAGCAGCAGCTGCTGCTGCTGCTGCTTGTCTCCTGCCGGCGCTCTCGACGACGGACCTGCACCCCACCAAACCCTAAACTCTAAACCCTAAACCCTAAATCCTAGCCCTGACTTCTTTGTCAAAAAAATAACTGCGAGGTGTTTTAGCCTGTGCGCCAACCGCAGTCGCCCCTACGGGCACAGCAATCAGCCCAGAATAAGGGTTTAGGGTTTAGGGTTTAGGGTTTAGGGTTTCTGTACCAAGTTCCCTCTTTCTCGTTGGCCCTGCAGATCCTCCAGTCATAAAAGCCGCAGCGAGTGAACACTCCAAAGTCAACGCGGCCGAGCCACAAGGTGCTGCTCTTCTTAGGCTGCTGCTGCTGCTGCTGCTGCTGCCGCTGCTGCCGCTGCTGCTGCTGCTGCTGCTGCTGCTGCTGGTGAGTCAGGGCGGCTGCGGGGGAGAGGGTGGTGTCTGAGTAAGGGCTGCGGGTCTCTGCTGCTGCTGCTGCTGCTGCGTCTTCCGCAGCCGCAGCAGCAGCGGGAGGCGCAGCAGCAACGCCAGCAGCAAAAACGGGGGTTTTGTCGAGAGACCTGAAGCTGGCAGCCCTGCGCAGCAGCAGCTGCTCCTCCTTCTGGTTCTTCAACTGCTGCTGCAGCTGCTGCTGCTGCTCTTTACTCTCTATGGGCCTTTCCCACTGCAGCGCGTGGTAAGAGTAAACCCCCGTTTTGCATGCGCGGTTAAACGAGGGGGCCACCAGCACCAAAAAGATGTCTTCAGGCCCGCTGCTGCTGCTGCTGCTGCTGCTGCTGCTGCTGCTGCTGCTGTCGACTTCTATCAGCACTTCTATCACGAAGCGCTCACCCACCGCACGCACTACTGGGTCCAGCGGACGCCGCAGCTGCCAGTCGTGCCTGCTCGCAAACCCTAAACCCTAAACCCTAAACTCTAAACCCTAAACTCTAAACCCTAAACCCTAAACGCTACGCTTCTCGTCGGTGGTTTAGAAGCAAAGGCCGGCGTATTGGGCGCCTTCTCCCCTACTCTTGTTGCTCCACTTGCTTATCCTGAGCAAGTGGAGCACCTAACCCTAAACCCTAAACCCTACACCCTAGACTCTAAACCCTAAACCCTAAACCCTAAACTCTAAACCCTGAACCCTGACCCACCTGTCGTAGAAAGCGTTTAAAAGTTTGACTGCCTCCATTCTAACTGTCTCTTCGCTGCTGCCGAGCAGCGCCACCAGCAGCTGCTCCAGCCTCGCGCTGCTGCTGCTGCTGCTGCTGCTGTTGCAGCAGCACGAGTTCCCACAGCTGCAGCTGTGGCTGCTGCTGTCGGGAGAGGCCTCTGGCAAGAAGGCGCTGTGCCACACGTCCCCAGCCAAGTCCATCAGCGTATCCTGCTCGTCAAACCCTAAACCCTAAACCCTAAACCCTAAACCCTAAATTCTAAACCCCAGGGACACTCAAAGTGCTCAGCGCCACTGAAAGGTGTGCGAACCCTAAACCCTAAACCCCGAACCCTCAACGCCAAACCCTGGAATTTACAGCGTCATGCTCCTCCAACGAGCCGCGCGACGAAGACCCTAGGGCTTAGGGTTTAGGGTTTAGGGTTTAGGGTTTACCTTGACAGCTTCTCTTGTTGCAGAGGTGAGCAGCGCCGTAAACCACCGAAGTTTATTTTGACAGAAAAAAGGAGACAGCCCGCAGGCGTTCCAAACCCTCAGCCCGTGCTGGCCCCGCCGCCTCGCCATCTGCCCGCAAACCCTAAACCCTAAACCCTAAACCCTAAACCCTAAACCCTTGAGCTCAACCCAAGCCCGCACAGCGACGGGACAGGGTGCTCAATCAACGCAGCCGTCGCCATTTAGGGTTTTATCCATGAAGGGCCCTTTTTCGCTCTAGGGTTTAGGGTTTAGGGTTTGTCCAGCCTGCTGCAGCCACAGCCTCCCCCGTCTCTAGGGTTTAGGGTTTAGTCACCAGTCTGCTGCCGAGCATGAACGAAGGCACTTGGAAGACGTTCGGCACTTCCTGCAGGCACCGCCGCAGCGCCTGCTGCTGCTGCTGCTGCTGCTGCTGCTGCTGCTGCTGCTGCAGCAACTCCGTCCCGTCAAGAATGAGAGAAGCCAGCAGCGCGAGAAGATAAGCATCGAAACGGCCCCTCGACTCGCAGCAAAAGCGCAGCACGTCCACGTCGAGGCGCAGCTCCAGGCACGCCCGCTGCTGCTGCTGCTGCTGCTGCTGCTGCTGCTGCTGCTGCTGGGGGTCTGCGGCGGCCTTGCTTTTTTTGTGCTTTCCCCGCGGGGAACGGGCTGACGGGGGAGTCTCTGGCGCTGCTGCTGCTGCTGTTGCTGCTGCTGCTCTTGCTGCTGCTGCTGCGGCAGGGACCACGCGGATGAGGCCCGGAGGCAGCGAGAAGGAATGGCCGCCCGAGGCAACAGACCCTTGCTGCTGCTGCTGCTGCTGCTGCTGCCAGCAGCGCGGCTCTATGAGCAGCATGACGTCGAAAGGCAGCAGCTGCTCGCGAGAAGCAGCAGCAGCAGCAGCAGCAGCTGCTGCTGCTGCTGCTGGCTCTCGCAACGCAGAAGATCCAGTGCCTTGCAGCGTCTCCAGCAGTGTTTCTGAAGGCCCCACAAACCCTAAACCCTGAACACTAAACCCTACCGCAAACCCTAAACCCTAAACCCTAAGCCCTAAGCTCCGACACCCCCCACGCAAAACCCCTACTTTTGCTGCTTCTGGGTGCTTCAACCGTCCCCCGCAAACCCTCACCTCGGGGAACGGGGTCTAGGGTTTAGGGTTTAGGGTTTAGGGTTTGCCTACCGCTGCTAGCTCCTGGGGGGCGAATGCGCTGCAGCAAGCAGCAAAGCGACGTCGTTTCAAACTCGTTTGTTAGCAGCTTGCTGCTGCTGCTGCTGCTGTCTTTTGCTGCTGCTGCTGCAGGGTCAGCAGTGACGGTGAAGGAAATATGTGGCTCGTCTGTTTGCTGCTGCTGCTGTTGCTGCTGCTGCTGCTGCTGCGACTGCAGCAGCAGCTGCTGCTGCTGCTTCGTCAGCAGCTGAGCGAGACACTGGTGGGCCTTTAAGAGAAGGGCCGTCAAAGTATTCCCTGCTGCTGCTGTTGCGGCTGCTGCTGCTGACTGGTCTGCTGCATGGCCTGCTACTGCTGCTGCCGCTGCTGCTCGCTGCGAGCTGCACTGCATCAGCAGCAGCAGCACCTGCTGCTGCAGCGGCTGCAGCAGCTCATCCTGCTGCTGAGCCAACAGGTGCTGCTCGCTCGGGAGATAAGACGAAGCAAAGAGCTTCGCTGCAAGGCCACACACAGCAGCAGCAGCAGCAGCAGTAGCAGCAGCAGAGCTGCAGCAGCAGCAGCATAACAGCAGCACAGGGCTGGCGGGAAGGAGACCTTACGCTGTCTCTCTAGCTGCAGCAGCAGCACAAGCAGCTGCTCGGAGACTCGAATGCGGAGCGCGGGCGTGTCTGCTGCTGCTTCAGGGTCGTGGGTCGGCTGTTGCTGCTGCTGCAGCTGCTGCTGCAGCTGCTGCTGCAGCTGCTGTTGCAGGTGCTGCTCATCAGGCCACACACTTCTCTCCATCTTGCAGCTGCAGCTGCTGCTGCAGCAGCGAGGCGTCCTTCGGGCGGGGCCAAGTCGTTTCCCTTTGCTGCTTCTGTTGCTGCTACTGCTGGCGTTGCTGCGGCTGCTGCTGTTGTCTATGTTGTTGTCGCTGCTGCTGCTGCAGTAGCAACTGAAAGTAAACAGGCGCCAACGGAGAGTTTATTCCATGCTGCCGTTAAGAGTGGGGACAGCTGCGCCCGCTGCTGGCACTGCTGCTGCTGCTGCTGCTGTTCCTGCTGCTGCTGTGCTGCTGCTGCAGCACAGAAAGCCATGCGTTTTGTGACACTAACTAAACTCGGGAGAATTCATCGGAGAGATGCACAAGCCCTCATGTAATTGCTGCTCTATCGCCACATGCAGCAGTCGGCTGCTGCTGCTGCTGCTGCTGCTGCTGCTGCTGCTGCGGCGGATGCGGCGGCGGCGGCCGCCGCCGCCGACGGGCAGAGAAGCACTGCAGCAGCAGCGAGCGAGAGCTCTCCTGGAGCGTTTGCTTTTTGTTTAAATGCCTTCTAAACCCTAAACCCTAAACCCTAAGCCGCAAACCCCAGGCTTCAGCCCTGCCTCCCCGGGGCAATCGACCGGGAACCGCAGCAGACGGCACTGCAAGTGTGTGGGGTTTAGGGTTTAGGGTTTAGGGTTTTTGAGGGCAGACCGCGTGGTTTGCACCCTGCAGGTTCTTGACGCTACAGTCTCAGTTGATGCAGCGTCTGCTGCTGCTGCTGCTGCTGCTGCTGTTGCTGCAGCAACTGTCAGCCTGCAGCGCGAAGCAGCTCTTCGGGGCTCCCTTTGCATTTTCGGGGGTTCCCCTGGCGAGCAGCAGCAGCAGCAGCAGCAGCTGGTGCAGCAGGAGCTGCAGCAGTCACCGTAGCAGCCCCGGCCATGGCAGCAACAGCAGCACAGCTGCGCACACGAGCCTGGGGAGGCCCCCCAGCCGCAGCTCCCCTACAGCAGCAGCAGCAGCAGCAGCAGATAGAGCAGTAGCAGCAGCAGAAGCAAGGACGCCGCTGCTGCGCGTGGGAGCCCGTTGGTCCCCGCTGGCCCTAACGCAGGCAAAAGAAGTGCTGCGGCGAGTAGTGTTTGCTGCTGCTGCGAAGTTTCCTGCTGCAGTTGCTGCTTTTGTAGAGGAGGACGAGCAGCAGCAGCAGCAGCAGCAGCAGGCGCTGCGGCAGCAGCAGGACGCGAGGGGGGCGGAGTGCAGCGAGCTGCTGCTGGGGACAGCAGCAGGGGCGCTGCCTGCTGCTGCTGCTGCTGCGCTGCAGCAGCGGCTGCGGTACGGGGAAGCAGAGCTGGTGCCGTACCAAACAGCAGCAGACCGTTTGCTGCAGCAGCAGCTGCTGCAGCTCGGAGGCAAGGGCCTCTTCAGCAAAGAACTTGATGAGGGTTTAGTAAAAAAGGAATTCCATTTTGCTGTTCATTCTCTCAAAGATGTAGCAGCAAACTTGCTTCCGGGGACGCAGCTTGCTGCTGTGCTGCAGCGGCAAGACCCCCGCGACGTTTTGCTGTTTGCTGCCAGCAGCAGGCCCAAGCTCCAGCCGCTCATCGACGCCCTTGCTGCTGCTGCTGCTGCTGCTGCTGCAGACGCTGCAGCAGCAGCAGCGCGCGCTCGCGCGGGGGAGGCCATACAGGTTACTGAAATCGGCAACAGCAGCAGCAGCAGCAGCAACAGCAGCGGGGAGGAACTTCTAATTGGCAGCTCGTCTCTAAGAAGACAGTCTCTTTTGCTGCACCTCGCTAGCCGCCAATCAGCAGCCGCAGCAGCAGCAGCAGCAAAAGTGCGCTGCGTGCTGCTGCGGGGAAATGTGCAGACTCGGCTGCGGAAGCTGCGGACGGGAGCAGCAGAAGGGACTCTTCTTGCTGCTGCTGGTCTCCGGAGACTGTGTCTGCTGCCGCAGCAGCAGCAGCAGCAGCAGCAGCAGGGAGCCCCACACTCAGCAGCAGCAGCAGCGCCGGCAGGTGCAGCAGCAGCAGCTGCTGCTGCTGCTGGGGGCCTAGAGAGCACGCGGCTTGCTGCGCCCCACAGCAGCATAGAGGCGCTGCTGCTGCCAGTTTGCTGCTTCACTCCTGCTGCTGCTCAAGGCATTATAGCAGCACAATGTCTTTCAGCTGATGCGGAAGTGCTGCAGCTGCTGCAGGCCGTCTCGGACCCCGCAGCAGCAGCAGCAGCAGCAGCAGAACGCGCCTTCCTGCAGCAGCTCGACGGCAGCTGCAGAACGCCCCTAGGCTGCATAGCCCTGCCGCAGCAGCAACAGCAGCAACAGCAGCAGCAGATGGAGTTTAGGGGCTTTGTGGGGACCCCAGACGGCTCGCGGATGTTCCGCGTGTTTGCTGCTGCAGGTGTACGTACACCTGAAGATGCTGCAGCGCTGGGAGCAGCAGCAGCAAAACAAATTCGAGCAGCAGCAGGACCTGACTTTTTGGCAGAAATAATCAGCAAAGTGCAGCAGGGCTGGGGGGCCATCAAGCAGCCCTAAACCCTAAACCCTAAACCTTTGCATCCGCACACATCCAGTTGCTTCCCTCTGTTTCCGGGCCTGAGCCGGGGGCGCCAAAATGCATGCAGTTCCGCACTAGGAGCAGCAGCAGGTGCTGCTGCTGCAGCAGCAAGCAGCAGCAACTGCGCTGCTGCTGCAGCAGCAAGCAGCAGCAACTGCGCTGCTGCTGCAGCAGCAAGCAGCAGCAACTGCGCTGCTGCTGCAGCAGCAAGCAGCAGCAACTGCGCTGCTGCTGCAGCAGCAAGCAGCAGCAACTGCGCTGCTGCTGCAGCAGCAAGCAGCAGCAAACTGCGCCGCTGCAGCAGCAGCAGCGCAGTTTGACACCAATACACAATACGGGTGCAGCAGTGTGTGTACAGGCTCCGGCAGCAGCTGCAAACTACAGCAACTTAGCTGCTGCCGCTGCTGCTGTTTTGCTGCTGCTGCAGCTGTATTCATGCTGCTGTCGCTGCTGCTGCTGCGTTTTTGTTGCTGCAGCAGCAGCACAAGTTCTGTTGCTGCAGGAGCACCACCCTTGCTGCTGTCGCTGCAGCGGCAGCGGCTTCTGGCGCCGCTGCGGCAGCCAGGAGCAGCAGCAGCAGCGCCTCTGCTGCGGCTGCTGCTGCTGCAGCGCGCAGCAGCAGCAACGCATGCAGCCCCAAAACCGGCACAGAAACTTACAAACTTTCTCAAGCAAAAAGTCTGTGGGGGGGCCCCCCTGAAGAAAGAGTTACTGGGTTTGTGGGGGACCAGGTGGGCAGCAGGAAGGGGGGCGTCGACTGCTGCTGCTGCTGCTGCTGCTGCTGCTGCTGCTGCGGGGGGGTCGGCGCATGCAGCCGGCACCGCTGCTGCTGCCGCTGCAGCTGCGTCAGCGCAGAATAAATTGCTGATGTTATCCACAGCGCCTCAGATATGCAAACTGAAAACAAAACAAAGACAATCAGAAACAACAGCTAGCTAGCTAGCTAGATGGCTTGCTGGGGGGCTAAGCAGCTAGCTAGCTAGCTAGCTAGCTAGCTGGGGGGCCAGTTAGCTAGCTGGGGAGCTAGCTAGATAGCTAGCTACCTCGCTAGCTACAAACAAGCTAGCTAGCTAACTACGCTGGCTAGCTAGCTAGTTAGCTAGCTAGCTAGCTAGTTAGCTAGCTAGCTAGCTAACTAGCTAGCTAGTTCGCTAGCTAGCTATTAAGAAGCTAGCTAGCCAGCTAGCTAGCTAGCTAGCTAGCTAGCTAGCTAGCTAGCTCACCCATGGCGTTTCCCTCGAAGAGCTGCACGTCAATGACGTATCTGCAGCTGCC